CCTGTTTAATGATTTAAGTCATCTGGGTGTCCCATCACTAATCAGGGGCATCCCAGTAATTTCTTGTACCTTGTACTATATTCATCTATAAATAAAGAACTGGTCGACTGGCTAGGATAGTTCGACATTTTCAGCATCTCTTCTTCTTCTCCTCTTCTCTGCTACTTCAACTACAGTGGTTCAGCTTTCAGGTTTTTATCCAAAACTATCACCCACAGCAGAGCATTCACTTTGAGAGGAGGAATATGAGTCCAGATTTTAGCAGCAGGAAAATTTTCAATTCCTCCACCAGATAATCTTTTGGCAAATGAATCACAGTGAAAATTCCATCTGCATTCTGCTCCCAGATCCAAGAATCTTCTTCCAAGGGGTTCAAAATCTGACTAGAAAGCAAGTCTAACAGATCCACCACTTGGCCCACTTCCCAGTCTTGGAAAGGTCTTCTGAAAGCAGGACTCCAGGCAAGACTATTTCCAATCAATTCACAACAATTTGCCACCATTGCATCTTGCAAAATATTAATTAGTAGAAAAATATTAGTTGCAAAATGAGAAATTAGGTTTTTCTTAGACCATCAAAAAATTTGAATATCCTTAAACTATGTAATCGAGCTGGCTTCTCAAAACTTCATTGATCTAGAGAAAGCATAAGATAGAGTTCCTAGAGAGATGTTATGGAAGATAAACAAGAAAGGAGTGCCAAATAGTTATATGACCTAACTATGAATATGTGCCAGGGTGCAACATCTAATGTTAGAACATCTATTAGAGAGACATAAGATTTTATAGTCACAATAAGTCTTCACCAGGACTTAGCATTTAGTCCTTATTTATTTGCACTAGTCATGGATAGATTGGCTAAAAATATTTAGGAGATCCCTAGTGCTTTTTGTTTGTTGACGACATAGTATTAATTGATGAAACTAAGGAATGATTAAATGCAAAATTAGGTTCACGGACAAATACCTTAGAAATAAGAAGACTCAAAATAAGTAGTACTAAAACAGAATAGACTATATAGGCAATGTAAATTTAATAATAATAAGATTGCAAATCAAGAGAAGAGTGTTGGGCAATAAAGAAGCAACATGTCCAAAAAATAGTATGGCAAAACTGTGAATGTTGAGATGGATGAGTGGGAAAACTAGGAAGGATAGAAATAGAAATGAACTCATTTGAATAAATGATAAAATGAGAGAGTAGATTATGATGGTGTGATCACATAAAGAGAAGGACATCTACATCACTTGTAAGAAAAAAATGACGTATTACAAGTTGAAGGGGCTAGAAGAGCTAAGGTCAGCCTAAAAAAGATGTTGGTTAAGTGGGAAAACTAGGAAGGACAAAAAATATAAATGAACGCATTTGAATAAATGATAAAATGAAAGAAAGTAGATTATGATGGTGTGGTCACATACAAAGGACATCAACAGCACTTTTAAGAAAAAGTGATGTATTACAAGTTGAAGGGGCTAGAAGAGCTAAGGTCAGGCCAAAAAAGATGTTGGTTGAAGTAGTGAGAAATGATTTAAGGGCTCATAATTTGACGATGGATATGACACTTAATAGAATGAAATAGGGAGACAGGATTCATGTAGTTGACCCCATATAGTTGGGACAAGACTAAGACGATGGTGGTGTCATGGTGGTGGTAACGGTTTATCCGCTTCAACATGTTTAACATTGTTGTCAAGGTGTTGCCTAGGCGACTAGGAACCCTTGGCTGGGTGCCTCGCCCAAACGCCTTGACTTTTAGCAACTAGGCACCCTTCTAGGCGACTAGGGACCCACCTAGGCGACAAAAATGACACGGTGGGCGCCTTTTTATAATATCATTTATATTGTTGTATCTTATTAATGTATGTGTTAATACATTTTATTATATGCTATATATATATATATCAATTATACTTTGTTTTAATGTTTTACTATTGAAATTTAAAAGATCAAAGGGTTTTGAGAAGAGAAAAAGAAAGAAAAAAAGAAAGAAAGAAAGAAAAGAAAGAGGAAAGAAAGAATAGAATAATAAAGTTCTTTTTTCTATTCTCTCTCTCTAATTAAATAAAACAGAAACTCCATCCTTGTTTTTTTTTTCTATTTTACTTTCCATCTTGAATATTTATCATGTAAAGCTAATAACCTTCTTTAGCTACTAATTAATATGAATTCGCTCTATTAAATACTTATTATAGTAGTATTATTTTTGAAAATAATGAAATTAATATATGTAAAAGATTTTTATTTTTTAGATGTGATGATTTGCCACAAAGAAACTAGCCAAAAGTCAGTTTTTTATATTATAAAATTTTTATCGCCTAGGTGCCCTAGTGTCACCCAGAATTGCCTCGACGCCTTGAAAACTATGATGTTTAATATATTTGTATTTGAAATGACCAAGACATATCATACCCCAAGGAAGTTGTTCTGATCGGTCTATTACTCTATTTCAAGTGGGGTATTAGAAAACTAAAGTTAAGTAAAAGTAGGTACTTGTAGAATAATGTAACTTTTAGTTCCATACTTAGCTTCCAAGTTTGGGAGCGAAATACAATACCACATTGTTCCAAATAATTTTCCTGAATCGTTGTTTCAATCCATACGGAGCTTTTGATAGAGGATATGATCCCTGATTGAGTGTAACAGTGAAACAGGATTCATCTAATTGATTCCATCTACTTGAGATAAATTTGATCATGTTGGGCTGAGTTTAATATTACACCAAATAATTTACCTTCATATTTTGGACAAAGTGGTAAAATATAAATTTCACTTGGGATATGTGTGTGTGGGCAGGTTTGTGTGTGCACACTGGGAATGACAAAATCTAAAATGAAATCATTATTATGCTCAATATATGGCCATATGGGTATGTTTGGTTACTGCAATAAGTCCATCTTGTGTAGCTTCCTGTGGAGCAATAATTATCTTAATTTTTCCTGCTATTTCATTTTCATCCATTCTAGAACTTCCTAGGCATTCTTTAGCTGTAGAATATACTTTACCACCAAATAAGATGTGCAAGGCAATCAATGAGCTGCCTGCTTTTTAAGCATTGTTAGAGGATGGAAGCTGGTTGTATCTTCCTCTTCTGTTAGGATGAAAGGTTTCATCCTAACAGTTGGGGGAGTTTTTATGGATGAGCATTGGACCATATTAGCCATGTACTCCAGACCAATGGGCATGAGAGACCCTTGAGGGTTGTTGAACTGTTATCAGCTTTGCAAGGTCTAAGATTGGGAAGATCTTTATTAGAAGATCTTTATTAGAGCAACTTGCAAGTAGTGGGTTAGCTAAAAAACAAGGACCAATACCAACAGATGAAGAGCATTAGATGCTTGACAAGGGACAGAAATACCACTTTTTCATGGGTTCAAAGATCACCAAATTGCTTTGCCAATACTCCAACCAGGCAAGGAGTGGATAGGGAGCAATTATTTTGGTCCTTCACATGTAGAATGAATGAAAAAGAAAAAAAAAAGGATTAGCTGATCTGTTCAGCTTATTTGACTAAGGGATGCTGGACATACTATGCGTAGTCATTCTTTCATTCAATTTAACAATGTTTCACAGTTTTCCATATAAAATGAGTTGTTTTTAATGCTGTGTATTTGTTCTGGAGTAGTAAGTTTTGCCATGAAAGAATAGTTTGTGCTCTGTGAAACAAGCTCCATATAAATAAAGACATTCTTTTATTGTTGTTCTATTGGTCATTAGAGGACATCTCATAAATGGTTAATATTTGTTTATGTGATGCTTATTTTACAAGAATTGTGATTAATGATTATTCTACTTCTAGAACTTCTAGCAACTGAAGAAAAGAACATAAAGGGAACAACTTTTGAAACAACCATCTCAATTCCTTGAAATTTGATTTCATATTAAAATACTATGTGCTCTTAAAAGTACTCCAATCCTGAATTCATGCCAGTGCTTCTGTAGTCATGGCATTACGCTGATGTGCTTTATATTTCCCATGTCACCTGCAGTATCAGACCATGCGCTTAATAGATTGTGGAATGTGGATGTTGAATTCATCCTCATAAACATTGTTCTTCATGTTTGTGATTTTTCCTTGCATTAATGTTTATGTCTTTCATCCTCATGTTTGTTTTATTGTTATACTGTCTTAGTTACCTAAAATATTATATATTTTATACCTGCATAGAAGTCATCATGAAAATTGAATATTTCATACTTCTAATGTAAATCCAAGTCTCATTGCACTAACTTGGTTTGGTTGACTCCATATAGTTGGGACAAGGTTTTGTTGAGTTGAGCTTAGCAATAATTTGGCTTGGCACTTGTTGTATGCAAAGTACTGCTTTCTGGATTAGATTCCATATGGTTTGAGATTTGGGTTCTGCTGCAGGCAATTGACCATATCATTAACTCAGCCGCAAAATCGAACTACATGTCTGCTGGTCAGTTATCTGTACCTATTGTTTTTAGAGGACCAAATGGTGCTGCTGCTGGAGTTGGTGCACAACACTCCCAGGTATGCGTCTCTCTTGTAGGTCTAGAAATTCGTTTGCATCTTATTCTGCTGTGAACAGTGATTTAAAAGGCTCACCTCAGGCGCATTTTAGGGTAGGCGCCTCGCCCAGGTCCTAGGCACATGCCTGGTGTGCCTTGTGCCTCAACCCAGGCATGTGCCTTTTGAAAATTTGACGCTTTTTTGCTTTTAGACGCTCACCGAAGCTTCAAGAACCCCCTATTTGGTAATGTTGTTCATTCATTCATCCTAATAAAATCTCTTCTTAAAAAGCAATTAAAACTATAAAATCATTATTTTTTTGTGTGAGAACTAAGAATTTAAGACCTAACGTGGAATTGTTTGGTCTTGCCTTGAGGGGCGTGGCACAAAGGTGGCTCATAAAATCAAGAATGTAATATGTTTTACATCACATTAGCTACTTGAAGTTATGCAATTGAGAAAAAAAGAGATTGTGGGTTTGATATGGTTGAAAATGTTTTATGTATTTGATTTTATTTTTAAATTCTCAATTGAATATGCTTTACATGTTATATTTATGTATTTTAATTTTAGATAATAGGTTTTTTAAAACATTTATTTTAAAATTTAAGTTTATATTTTTATTAGTATTATGTTTAATATTTTTTAGCTTTTTTATTTTTATTTTTGGTGCCTTGCTTAAAAAGGCACATGCCTTGCCTTGCGCCTTGCGCTTCAAGTGCAAATTGACCCCTACGCCTTTTTTTGCGCCTTGCGCTTTTAAAACATTGGCCATGAAATGAGGCTACTAATGTGATACTCTCTAGACTAACATGTGATGCCTATGCATCTTATCTTTCCAGTTTTGACAGGGCTGACGTTTTAAACATTATATATCAATGGAGTTAGATAACACTTTCAGTTCTTAAAATTAGGTGGCAAAAAACGAGTCTAGGACTGATGCAACTTACGTGTGAAGAAATAAAAAGAAGAAATATGCTCAAAGAAATGGAAAAAGAAGAAGGAAATTGGATTGAACTTCTTTAATATAAGGTAGATTACAAAGAATTTGTAAGGTTGGGGACTCTCTCAACTCTCAAAAGAAAGCTCTAAGCTTCACAAAATAAAAAGAAAGAACTTGATTGCCTCTAGCTTGAGACTACAAGGCTTTATATAGAGAACAAATAAACTAGTTGGAGCATTAAATATAAAACTACTTGTTGGAGCATTTAATAAAACTAGCTATTAGAAATCCACTAACCAAAGTGGCTGTTGGAAGCCCATTAGTGAGTTTTGTCTTCTCCTTTTAAAATGTTCTAGTGCTTCTCGAGGTATGATCTTGATCTTCATCAAGGAAGGTGCAAGTTGGTGTTATGCCCCTTTAGATGCCACATGCTGCTTAATGGAACTGATCACATTAAATGCTGTCCACTTTTATACCTGTACTTATTGGATGCATTGTAAGCATTTGCCTTAGATGTTGCTTATGTTAGGGCATGACATCCTACCATCCTGTGTTACTAGTGGGCCTTGATTTGCATTACCGAATTTTCTAAAATTTACTAGAAAAGGTTTCTTGCAAGAGGAAGTTAAGGTAGATTTTAATGGAAGGGAATTCCTTTGGTTGTTGATGAACCTCATATTACATGATAGTGCCTTGTCTTTGGTGACCCCTCTAGTCTAAGCTCATAAGAAATTAGGTCTGGGAATTGAGTAATCACTTCTTAATTTCCTCTTTTTAAAATAAATTTCCTAGACATTGAATGAGATGATTCATTAGAAAATAAGGGACTTGAAAATTCAGTATCATAAGTATCAATTGAAGTTCTTGGCAATGTGAATCAAATCCGGTGACTCCATAAGGGCAGTTGTAGAGAGTAATGGTAGCGGAAATTTGAGGAATCAGGTGCATCTTGGATCTCATAGGTTTGATCGTTGAAGATGGGTGACTTTTATGGATAATAGTGTTTGTGTTATTAAGTGAAGGACGTAGAAAGTTTGAGGAATCATATGGAGCTTTTAGAAAGATGTCTTGTTGGTAGGTTTGTGTCTTGACCAACATGAGGAATTGGTTGAATCTTGGGTTATAGGACTGTTCGTTGGTGATTGCAGTAAAAGCTTTTTTTTTTGTAGTGCAGAGAAGATGCCCTTAATGTTCTTAGGTGGGAATGGTCTCTTGGCCACTCCTCAGAGTTTTGAATTGATCTCTAGTTAGGGATGATATTTCTAGCCCGGACCCTCTTGGCGTGTTATTTTACATTATATATTATTTATTCATACACATAAGAACGTGCAAGTGCACGATTTGGGTAGGCTATGCAAGCACACAACTTCCTTAAAGAATAGCTGTGCATTGTGTACAACATCAGATGTGTTGCTACAAGGAATGAAATGATCCATTTTGTAGAAGCAATCAACCAAACATAGATGGAATCATGTCCCTGTAGAGTCTTAGCAAGGCCTAGCACAAAATCAATGCTAAGGTCTTGCCAGGGAGAATGTGGAACACGGAGTGGAATGTTGAAACTACAAACCAGTATTTTGTTTCCTTCCCTTTGCTATCTAACATGTATGACATTGCTTCATAACCTTAGCTACTTCCCTTTTGAGTCTAGACCAATAGAAACGATCTTCAACCATTGCAATACCTTTGTCCCTTCCAAAATGACTTGTTGCACCTCCTAAATATAATTCTCAAATTATCTCTTCCCTAAGTGAGGTATTGGGAAGACAAAGATGAGTGCCTTTGAAGAGAAAGCCATCATGTAATGAAAAGTCTGGGTATGTTGCTTGCTGTCCTGACTGCAAATCTGCATAGATAATGCTGAAATCTCGACATTTTAGGGTAGTCTCTTTTGAGCAAATCAAAGCCTACCACTTGTACAACCATACTAGAGAGAATATAGACCACTCGGCTAAGTGCATCTGCTACTTGTTTGGTCACAAATTTGTATTTTTGGAGGAATGCAATCCACATCTAGCATGCCATTGATTCGACCTCTTTTGAGAACTAATGTGCTTCAAGGCCTCATGATCTGAAAAGAGAACAAATTCTTTGGGAATAAGATAGTATTACTAATAACATAAGGCCCGCACCATTACAACATAGAATTCCTTGTCATAGGTGCTGTATTTTTCTTGGCTTCATTAAGTTCCTCACTAAAGAAAGCCACTGGGTGATTCTTTTGGCTAAGAGTTCCTCCAATCCCAACATGAGAGGCATCACAAGTTACTTCAAATACCCTTGAAAAGTCTGGGAGGCAAAGGACTGGTGTTGCTGTTAGCCTTTTTTGACCTCTTCAAAAGCCTTGGTTTCTGCATTAAGCCATAAGAACTGACCCTTCTTGATATATTTAAATTTATAGGCCCAGGAGTCCAGCCTAGGCCTGGGCCGACTTGGTCTATAATCATCCCAATCATTGGTGTCCATTGGTGGGCTATATGCCAATATCAGAATGGCATATACTTCAAACTAGTTTGGATTATCATAGCAAGCATTTCCCTCCATGGCTCCATGCATGGTTCTTACCAATGTTTATAGTGATTGGAGAAACATGTGGGCAACTTAGAAAGGTTGATGAAAATAATCTCAACTGGAAATTCATCTAATTTAGGTGGATGACATGAATGCAATCTCCCACTAGATGTAGAGTTGTCGTTTGTAGGTAATGTTGTAAAAAAGAAGAGGGAAAATGGAATTTATTGTTTTGGTACAAACCGAACCACTACAAGCTACGAAACAACAAGCTGAAGGTGTGAAACAATGCGAAAAAGGTTGAGTTGTGCCTCCTTGTCACTCCTTAAAATCGCATTTCCCCATGCAATTGGAAACTTGCAAATCGGTTTCAAACATCCCATGGGCTTTTGGTAGACATGCACTTGTTTACCATCCATCCTTGAATTACTTTAGAAGATGCTTAGACTATTATGACAGAATTGAATCAAGTAGCAATAACAGTGTGTCACCGGGTTACTTAGCTCTCTATTTGTAGAGTTTAGAAGCACCTGAATAACCACAAAGACAACCCAATGAATAGAGGTGTCTCTCTCCTGAATAGTGTCAAACACCTATTCAAAGAGACACAAATAAGAAGACACAATTCATCAAAAAAAAAAGAAGACAACCATTTAAAAACAATGGGTCGTATTAAGTAGATTAGGCAATGGTTAAAATGGTTAAACAACTTAAAAACATTTAAAACAGTACTGGCTTAAAAAGGATACGGTGTGGTACTTATAAAAAAAAGGGATATGGTGTGGTGTGCATGTACACCCACAACCATGCTTACGCCCCAACCTGGCCTAGCTTGGGTCAGCACTTGTGTGTGCGTGAAAAGCACCCCCAGCAACTGTTCAAAGAGACACAAATAAGAGGACACAATTCATCAAAAAAAAAGGAAGACAACCATTTAAGAACAATGGACCATTTTAAGTAGACTAGGCATTGGTTAAAATGGTTAAACAAGTTTAACTTAAAAATGTTTAAAACAGTACTGGCTTAAAAAGGATACAACTTATCAAAAAAAAAAGGATATGGTGTGGTGTGCATGTACACCCACAACCATGCTTACGCCCCAACCTGGCCTAGCTTGGGTCAGCACTTGTGTGTGTGTGTGTGTGTGTGAAAAGCACCCCCAACCCCCTATAAGCATGTAAGAACAATGTATAATTTATCCTCCCCCATTGGGTCTCTACCAAAGGGAGAGAAAGTTATCTTATTAGGTGGACTCCACTTCCTTTCCCAAGCAATGTGGGACAAGGTGTTTTCACATGCTCAAGAGGTTAGAAAAGAGCTAGGCAAAAGCTCTTCAAAAAGGGAGGGAGAGAACAAGAGAAAACAGTTAGTCATTTGTTCATATCTTGACTGTGGACCATTTGAAGAGTAGAGGATTTAACATGGCTAGTATGTGTTTCCTGTGCAAATAACAAGAGGAGACAGTTATTTGTTCATATCTTGCACAATTTCTGGTTTCGTATGGAATCTCTTCACAGCATTTTTTGGGGAAAGAAATTTTCAGCCAAGGTTTCCTTCAGAAATTTTCTCATCATGGCCAAAGCTCAGTGGCAGTAAGAAAGCAAGGTTGATTTGGAGCTGCATACTTTTGCAATCTGCTTGAACATCTGGAAGGAAAGAAACAGTAGAGTGCTTGAAGATAAAGCTTGGAATTTGGATAGGCTGGTGGCGGCTGTTGGCAAGTCTGTCTCAGAATGGGTCTTGGTGCTGCTAGAATTCAAACAAGTCAATAAAGTGGACCTTGGATACAGGCTTTGCAGTTAGTACAGAGGTCCAAGCAGTTTTACAAGGGGCACAGATTGCTAAAGTGTTGAACTTCGGGAGTTTTGTCATTGAAGGAGACTGGGTGGCTGAAAGAACCGGAGACTATAGCTTGATCTTTCGGGGGAGCAATGAGAAGATTCAAGTGGCTAACTTCCAATTTAACAGTTAGAATTCAGTGGGAGAGGAGATTGGCTAATGGGCTGGCAGACCCACTAGCTAAGCAAGGGGTGCACAGGGATCACTTATTCTGGGCTTATTAATTGTAATTTTGCTTTGTTTTTGAGGCAGCATCTCACACCTCTTTGGGGAACTCTTTGCTTTGTCGTTAGTTCATCTTGATTAATTTTAATGAAATGCTTTATTGCTTATCAAAAAAATTGTAATATGGATGATTTGTTTTGACTTGTATTGGTGTTTTAGTGTTGCCTTAACACCTGATTGATTGTAATACTTTTTCTTTTTAATGAAATTTTTACTTTTACTATCAAAAAAAGGGAGGGAGAGATTGATTCATGTATTTTCAGACTCGCCTCCAAAACTAATAAATACAACAGTTCAGCAATACAAGCTTAGGATTTTGGTCAAGGGAAAGGATCTATTTGTGGATTTTTCTCAGCAGGATGATGCTAGAGAAGCCAAACAATCTCGTGGGTTGAAGGTTGAAGAAGATGGAGATAAGCTTAATGGTAGTGTGTGTGTGTGTGTGTGTGTTATTATGTTTTTTTTTTTTTGATGAATAGTGAAAGGGGAGTTTTGAAACTTTGCAGCATATAGTAGGACATATGAGAGCTTCTGGATTTGAAAAGTTGGTTCGTTTATTGTGTAATGGTGTCAGCAATAATCTTGTTTTTTCATTGAGAAATGGGGATGCTTTTATGGGGAGGAGAAAGGTTCAGAATGGTGGAACTTTACAGTTACAAAGGGTTAGAGGAAATAAGATATCCTGATGTAATCTATATTGGAACCATGATTCCAATCTAAGTAGCTGAAGTTCAAGATATGTATTCAAAATCAGCTGATGCTAGAGAAGTTGTTTCAGGTAAGGAGAGGAGGAAGGAGTCAACCTGAGATGAGATTTGGCCAAATAGCTTTAGAAACAAAATATCCGATGTGGAGCAACATAAGGTCATTGGGTGTTCTGATCTTGAGGTTGACAAGGAGAGATCATTGGGGCAGAGCTGCTGGAGCTGGATCCTCATTATGCCAAAGGTGTGGTGTTAGAGGATCAGGTAGAGTTCATGCCAGATTTTGTTGGGAAGATCAATGAGTGTGTTTCTGCAGGAACCCAAAACTTATTTGGTAGTAATTGATCAGGTACACAAGGTTGACAAGAAAGCTGACTGTTGACAAAGACATAGGGTTAAGAGATTGAGTATTTTCTTCCTAGGAGGTGAGGAACATACCAGATAAGTGTTCAGGGAAGCCTAGACAAAGTTCAACTATCAGGTTGGTGAAAGGACGTTCAGGGAATAGAAAAAGCAGATATGACTCTGGCTTGTAGCTGTTGTGTTGGGAAGGGATTTTGATTAGTATAGTTGAAGATTTGAGGTCTTTTAGAGTGTGTTGGCTAAAGGACTGCCTGATAGGATCATGAGGGTTGTATATCAGGTTGTCTTAGGTACTTTTTTAGTCTCTTTCTGGTGGCCATTTTGTATGGTATAGACACTCCAATTAGAAAGTGGGGTGGGTGTTGGCTTGTTTGAATTTGGATGTGTGAAACCTTATCATCTCTGTTTGTACCTATTCTGTCTTTTTCTTTTAATATTGTTTTTTTTTGTAAAAAAAAAAACTAAGATCAAGAAATCTTTAAATTACAAGAATGTAGAGGTACAGGGAGATTCTAAGGCTGTGATGAGCTGGTTCATACAAAACAGCACAGACCATTAGATTCATAGGCATGCAATAATGGAGGTAAAAAGACTAGGATGAGAACTGGGAACAAAGACTGATATCAGCCAATAGTATGGTGGATGCTTTGGCAAGACAATGACTGGACAGGAACCAATTGTATTAGGAAGTAGTTTCCCAAGGAGGAAGTTTCTAATTTGAAAGTTAAAATACAAATGCGTTATAAATGGGTGCTGGGCACACTTTTGTATATATTCACCTCGGTTAAATTTAATTACATTAATTTTCTATCAATATAAATGAATACTGCCTTATTTATTACTTTTACAAAGCTAAGAAGTAAAAAAAAAAGGCAAAAACAGTGGCAGGAAAAAAGGGACTATAATAGATTCTCTCTCTCTCTCTCTCTCTCTCTTCCCCATTTCTATCCATCCCTCTCTTCCTGTTTCCTGGTTCTATTGATCATTATTGATGGAGAATCATGTATTTTATGGACAAACTTAACTGCTTCCCAAGGCTTTAAAATTAGAAACATGCAAGTCCTGAAATTTAAATTTGGGCCTTGGGCAAGTACATCTCGAAAAACTAGATTAATTGGGAAAAGATTTCTGGAGCAAATGTTTAAGTTCTTACATACCATTTCTTAGTCCCTGAAGAACATTTCTGTATGATTTGCAGTGTTATGCAGCATGGTATGGTTCTTGTCCTGGGTTAAAAGTATTGGCTCCATACTCATCAGAGGATGCTCGTGGCCTTCTAAAAGCTGCTATAAGGGACCCTGATCCTGTTGTTTTCCTTGAAAATGAGTTGTTGTGAGTAGTTTGACAAGTATGATTGTGTGATGAACTGATATTTGTTAGATTGTTATCATTGATTTGGCACTGTCAATGTGAATGCTGTGCTTCAGGTATGGTGAGTCTTTCCCTGTTTCAGCAGAAGCTCTTGATTCTAGTTTTGTTCTTCCAATAGGAAAGGCTAAGGTCTGTTTTCTATGGATACCTAGAATATTTTGTTGAATCATTGTTCTATAGGCACCTAATAATTATCATTATCATCGCATTATCTATGTTTCTTTGTCTTATGTTTACCTTTGATAGATTGAGCGGGAAGGAAAGGATGTTACAATTACTGCTTTCTCAAAGATGGTTGGTTATGCACTTAAGGTTTGTCTGACGTTCTTCTAGCTGTATCATTTTCATATTTGATGCATTAGTGTAAATGATCTGGATATATCATCCGATTTATATATATATTGTGTTTTGTCTTGGGTCCTTTTGCCTGCAGTTGGTTTAACTATGGTTAAATTGGATTCTGTGGTAGGTAGTCCAAATCATCATTTTATAAAGATATCTGGTTGTAAAGTTTCAATTGCTTTTGGTAATGTATCTAGATTGATTGTGGAATCTCCTAAGTATGGTGTTTATTATTAACTTTTGTCATATTTTGATGTTTTAAAACTGGACTGATGGCTGGCCCATTTTTTCTAGGTTGAATGGGTTGGCCCATTTTACCAATAACATACAATATAACTATTAAATAGGATTAGGTTGTAGTTCTAACCTTACTCATATATGTATTTAAAGAATGATGGAAGGGGGGAGAACTGCTGACAAATAACAAGAGGGCAGTGAAGGTTGCCATTGGTGCAGGTGCTTCTACTAGACCTACCTATGTTGGTTTCTTGGTGATGGGTTGAGCAGTTCAACCATCCTAGTCGATGACAGCTGATAGGTTGAAAACCCTTGTCTGGATGGGAGTTTGAGCTTACCTTTGATAATTGCTTTGAATTTAAGATTCAGATGTCATGAATTTTATGTCATCCCTTCTTTCTAGTTATAGGTGTGAATAATGTTAATTTTAAGCTGATTTGGTACCTCATCAAATCATTATGAGTTTTTTCTTGACTCAAGAAATTTATTTACAGAAGTGAATCAGCTTGTTGGCACAACTGTCAAACTTTAGGATTATTGTATGAGTAATTTGAAACTACTTTTATTTCTTTTCCTGCAGTGCTATATGCATAGACCTGTTCACGGCTGGGTTTTGGCAAAATCTAAGCCCAAGCCCAGCCCATGGACAGGTCTATACATGCTTGAATGTTGACCATAAGAGGGTATTTTGTATTAGTTGAATACTTGAATGCATCAGAAAATCATGATAAGTATCTAAAATGCTAATGCCCATTGTTTTGACAGGTTCTGAATCACATGATTTGTGGTCATTATTGGTTTTACCTTGGGGGAGGGGGGTCATCTAGTTTTCTTTTGTGATTGGTTTTATATTTCTTGTTTTACATCTGAATTTTAATTGTCTTAGTTCTTTTGGATGTCAAGTTCCTGGATGTTTCACAACCTCAGCTGGGAACTCGCAGTCATTTCCCCCTTAGGCTGCATTTGGTTGCAGTGCTATCTTATTTGCACTAGACAAATGATTGGGAGTGCAAATGAAAAGAGTGCAAATTCCAGTTTAATTTTGTTTTGGATTTTATTTCATTCTATTTCACATCATGTTTTACTTCATTTGTACTGTAATCAAACAAAATAAGGTAAAATTTGAAACAAAAATAAATCAGAATTTGCACCCAAATCATTTGCACTACCATAATTTGCCTCAGTGCAAATTTATTTGCACTGCAACCAAACACAGCCTTAGCATTTAATTGTAACAATTAAACGAATTTTTCATGTTTCTATGTTGGTCCTGGCAATGGGGATGAAAGCTACATTGAATGTGCATCTTTGAATTTTCTTAGAATGTCTTTATAATGAACAATCTCTAATTCATGTCAAATACACCCAGGCTGCTGATATACTTGCAAAGGAAGGAATTAGTGCTGAGGTAAAGTCATATTTAAAAGACATGAAAATCCACACTTCTCAAATTCTTTCTTAGGTTATCAAGCAGCGAGCTTGAGACAAGCTTCAAATTTTTACTATTTAACGGTTTATCGGTTGATACAGATTATAAATCTGCGTTCGATCAGGCCACTAGATAGATCAACAATTAATGCTTCTGTCTGGAAAACCAATAGACTGGTAACAGTTGAAGAAGGATTCCCTCAGCATGGAGTTGGGGCTGAGATCTGGTTTGCTCTTTTTCCTGCTATACCCACTCCTGCCCATATTTATTTAGGCTTCATATATTTACTAACGAGTTGTGGTTCTTCCAACAGTATGTCTGTTATTGAAGAGAGCTTTGGCTATCTTGATGCACCAGTAGAGAGGATTGCTGGAGCTGATGTTCCCATGCCATACGCTGCAAATTTAGAAAGAATGGCCGTTCCACAGGTTGGTCTCTCTCTCTCTCTCTCTCTCTCTCTCTCTCATGAGTTACAGTTCTGTCTGACATGTATTCATCAACTTTGAAGCCTGCCTCATCCTTTGGTGCAAATTCTAGGTTGTGTATTTATATGCTTATTTGCATATTTAGGACTTGCCTATTATTAAACGGTTATGAATTCTAGCAAATCATACTGTTCGGACCAAGATCAAATGTGCTTATAACAGTAAATCAACCATTTTCATTTGGATGGTCACAGAAAACATAGGGTAGCTAAGAGGTGAAGTATGGTCTTATTTGATTAGGTTGATACTGTTCTAACAATATTCAATTAATTGTGGATCTGGCGATCTTGTGTGCTTCTTTCAAGATCCAGACCACGGAAGTTCCTGGCGAACTTTCTGTATGATAAGATTGCATGGCATGAATAGTGCGTGCATAGTGCCTGATGATGTCTCAAAGGGATACTGACCCCTATGACCATCCAAAGCTATGAACACCTATTGTATATGCACTCCAGAATCTGTCCTCTTGTACTACAACTGGGCAACTTTTTTCTTATAGTTCTTCAACCTTGAAATTTAACCACAATCTATTCTTTCTGGATGATGGTTTTTACAGGTTGAGGATATCGTTCGTGCTGCAAAAAGGGCATGCTACAGATCTGTTCCCATGGCTGCAGCCGCTTAGGAGCAGCTACTTGGCTTTTTCTGTTTTTTCCTTTTCTTATTGAACTTGTCAAGGGGTTGCATTCATGAAAGTTCCGAAAAGCTTAGTTTGCTGTGGAAAACATTTAATTTGGGCCCTTTTTAGAAGGGCTTATTGTATTCCTTTTTCTCCCCATCCATTATCGGGGTGGGACTGCGCATTTACCTGAGAGCCCATTGGACACTAAGAAGATAATGAATTCTGAGACGAGCATTTTGATATGCTTGGTCCTTTTGTTTTTTGTATAAATGCCCATTGATGATCATTGAATATGTAATTGGGCTACTGTGTTATGTTGAAATTCCTGCATATGCAGATTTTGTTGCTATTTCATTCAGGTTTTATTTGAATTTTTTCTTGATAAATAATGTGGAAGTTACAAGTCTTTTCTAAAAGAGAAGTAGTATCTATTTGAAGATGAGGAAGGGCATACCAAATGGTAGACCTACAGGTTTTGACCGAGTCCGGATCGGCTGACCACGACACATTGCTGGCCATGAGCATCCAGCTATACATCAGGAATATCGGTGTTTTGAAGTACAACCAATGTTCCTGATGTGTGGCAGAATGCGTGTGGCCAGCAATGTGTCGTGGTCAGCAGATCCGAACTCGTATTGACCTGCTATTGTTACAAAACTGCATTACAGATTTCAGGGCATTTATTTTTAAGACTCAGAACCTGACATTGGGTTCATCTCTTACTGCTAATGCCAGATAACTTGCACTCCACACTGTTTAGCGGAAGAAATCCTAGTACTATACCATTAAGCTTCAAAATATAGGTATTGCAAATCGTATCCATAAGATTGGAAATGGACACATGTGACATTCATCGAAAAGATGGGGATATGTTAAGCAAATTGTTGCAAATATTACAAATACATCAATAACACTAATCTATAGTTGAAGTAGCTATCAGCCTATCATTAAGGATACACCAAAAGGGTATAAATGCACAAGAAAGACATTTTAAGGTTCTATGTGAAGAAAATTTGATATAAATACAGTAAGACATGTAGATATTATATAACTTTATTGGTAATGCATCAATAAGAGTCCAATAGGGGTGCTCACCGTTCGGTTCACGGTGGGCCTATTTTTTAAACCGAACTGGTAAAACTAGTAATCGAAATTGAACCAAAGCCGATAGGTTAACCATCGGTTTGGTTCATTGGTTTTTTGGTTTTTATATTTTTAATATATTATAAAAAATATAAATATATAATAAAAACTAGAAATATATATATATGTGATGTTATATTTAAATAATAAATAATATATTATATATTATAAATATATATGTTTATATGTAATGCATATTTATTAATTTATGATATATAAAAAATATAATATATATAATATACATAAAATATATAGAAATATATATACCAGTCGGTTTGGTTAACCATTGGTTTTCTATATTGGTTAATCAAAACCAAACCGGTACCTTCAGTCTTTTAAAAATACAGAATCGAAACCGAATCAACCGATTTGGTTAACCAGATTTTCTGTTTGATTTTGGTCGATTTTTGGTTTGTTTCGGTTTTTCTTTCACCCCTAGAGTCCAAGAGACGGTATATAGTTTTATAACGGAAGTATCTAATTAATCTAAAAGTATATTTATGAGAATGTAGAAGATCCAAGACACAAATTATGTGCATGTTTTAATTACTGTATCTATTATTCTTTGTTTTGTTATATGCAAACTCATAAATTTTAATTTCTAGAATTATTTATCCTGCTTTTGTTATCTTTATTTTTGAAAACTAACAAAAACCATATATGGACTAATGGACGTGATAGATCATTCAATTCGTTCGTGTTTATAGAATACTGAATTTAATGGTCTTTAATTTTTTTTGGCTGATCATTTATATATAATATTATTTGTTTGAATAATATGTAACCCCAAGTTAAATAAAACCTACATTATTTTAATTATTTGCATAATATTGGAGGATAGTCAATGGGGGATAAGTTTGGTTGTTTGAAAAAACAAAAGAGCAAAATAAAATAACAGCCTATATTGTTTTGAAGCTTTGTGCATGTGTTGAATATGTTTGAATCTTTTCTAATAAAATTATAAATTTTAATTATTTTATTTTTATTTTTAAAATAAAATAAAAAAATAAAAACAAAATGGTTGACATTATAAAAAATCACAAGGAATGGGGATAACCTTGTCCCCATTAGCAGGAACGGGAACGGGGATGGGGATGGGGATTTTTGCGGAAATAGGGATGGAGAGAGGCTCCTCATCCCTGCCTCGCCCCGCTGCCATTCCTATATATCATAAAATGTTGGGTGGGCCGAAATTAGATTGGATTGGTCTCATGCTACCCAAGGTCTCAACCAAAGACAAACATGAGTTTGAATTAGACTTGACTTTTTCTACCTAAGCTAGTTTGAAAACTCAAGCCCAACTTGTGCAAAGTTTTGCTTGAGTTGGGTCAGGCTCGGGTTGGGCCCACCCAAGTTGCACCCCTAGATCCTCTTGCCTCAAATTCTTTTAACAAAGCATGTGCATCATACAGGTCCGAGTTAGTTTTTCATAAATTTACACTAATTTCTGATCATTTTCAATAAATAATTATTATATGTAAAAAATTAACAATAAATTACAATAAAAAATTAAGTATTAAAAGAACAATATATTACACTAATTTATTATTATTTTCAATAATCAATCATTAAAACTCATAAAATAATAGTAAGTTACAATAAAAATTAAATATTAAATAACAATAAAATACACAAATTTTTTATAATTTTCAATAATTGATGATTAAAAGTAATAGTAAATTACAACAAAAAGTGAAATATTAATAACAATATATGACACTAATTCTTGATTATTATTGTAATAAATATGGCTAGCAATAAATTATCAATGCTCCAAAGACATTATTATTATTAAAAAATTGATCCAAAATCAAGACCACTTTGGCCATCGGTTTCTAGGTCAATAGTTTAACCATCTGATTCGAAAGATGGCCAATTGAAATTAAAAAGATAAAAATAATTAAAATAAAATGACCAAACGCCCATTAACATTAACAAACAAAGAAAGAAACACCCATTAACATTAACAAAGAAAGAAAGTAAGAAACAATACATCAAAAGAACCTAAAACGGTTTCGTTTCTTCGTCTGTTTTTCTTCTCTCTTCATTTAATTGATAGTTAAGAATGAAACAAAGAAAACGAGAGAGAGAGAGAGAGAGAGAGAGAGGTAAGTTAATGGTGTTAACGAGAAAACAGTCGATGCGTTGTGTTTCTTCAATCCCCAAACAAATTACCACACTCTTGTCAATATCTTCTTCTTCTTCTTCATCTTCGCTTGCATCTTCTTATTAGAAAATTTATTGGACTCTATCTTCCCTCCAAATTCCTTCCTAAATTTAGATTGTAATCCTTTAATAAATTAGCAAAATCCCAAATCCCCTTCTAAATTTAGCACAGTTCTTTTGTTGCAGGTCAGAATGGGCTGAGGGCAACATTGTAAATTTGCTTTCGAGCCGAGGTGTGGCTGAGTAGTCTAAGGCCTGATGTGGCCAAGGGCTGGTATACAGATCCTACAAGGAGTAAACGAGGGAGAATGTCAGAGGCCCTAGGTGAGTACCCAAGGCGGAGACTCTGACGGTCAATTTAGTACTGGCACAACACCGGGTGGGCGAGGCTTGAGGTGAGAACACTCAGACGAGGGCACAAAGGAAACTGAAGAGTGCATCCTCGACAAGTCGAGGCTGAGGTCGAGGCCCTTCGGCGTTACCCAGTGAAGACATGGCATTCTCCTCGGCCGAGGCCTTTGTCAAAAAGGCTCAGTGACACCTCCTAGCACAAACAACGCACTCCATTTAGCCAAAGTCGATGTCTTAAGCTAAGACTTCCACCACAGCCTCAAGAGTGGGGGGCAAATGATGTAGGCGCACATGGTCTGAACCAATGGCACGCACGCACGTGGCAGGCGGCAGTGCTCAGGGTGGACCCAATGAGGGTGCGCACAAAACAGAGGTCGACACGCTACCCAAAACCAATGATGTTGTCGCACACGGCGGACTCAGATGGCCGCGCTAAGGGATCGCATCCTGACCGTCCAAGCCCACCTACCTCCAGGTGGCCTCAAGTATAAAAAGGGAGCAACCCTTTCAAGGTAAACATCTGGAACCTAGACTCAAGACTACTAAGAACTCTCCAGTTTCCTTTGTGGCATCGTCTGAGTGTTCTCATCTCGAGCCTCGCCCACCCGGTGTCGTGCCCATACTAACTTGACCGTCGGAGTCTTTGCCTCGGGTACTCACTCAGGGCCTCTGACGTTCTCCCTCCTTTACTCCTCGCAAGGCCTGCATACCAGCCCTCGACCACATCAAGCCTCGAACTACTTAGCCACACCTTGGCTCATAAGTAAATTTATAGTGTTGCCCTGAATCCATTCTAACCCACAACACTACTGTTAATGTACTCACTTACCTCTCTAGCTATCTCTACCAAGCTCTCTATTTATCTTTCTTTCTTTGGGTTATTAGCTTAGGTTAGTTGAGTTTAGTCGAGTTTCCAGGGTCATTTTTTGATGTAGAGTGGTGTTGTAGAGAATGAAGTTAGGGATAAAACTTAAAAGTTATGTCGTCATGTCCTCTCATCCTACAAACAAAACTCTTCAGTCCTTGCTTCTCCTTCTTCTACTGGTTATGTTACTTCGGGTGTTAGTTATGTGATTATATCCGGTCCGGGTTGGTGAAGGGATGGAGAGAGGAAAGCTCTTCACATTGACAATTCCAGCACCTAGGTTGATTTCTGTTATAGCGGAGACGGTGGAGGCTTGGACCTACATTTCACGGGAAATTTAATCTTTTTAAAAGACGATTAAGAAATTACTACTGTTAATTAATATTTATTATTTAATAAACACTAAACAACAATTAAAATGGGCTGGATATGGGTCGGTTTTCCACTTATAAGCACCCGGTCCATTAAACTTAAGCCGCATCACTTAAGTTAAATGGATCAAGTATGGTTCTATAAACCCAATTCGTACCCGATTATGGAGATCGTCTTCTTCATCCGCATTTTGTCTACTGTATTCGCTTCAAACAGTGAACACGATGAAAAGTGGTCGGAGTGGTTGAAAGAGAAATAGATACCATTCCAATGGTTTAAACGAATGCCAGACGTTAAAAAAATAGCAAGAATATGCACTTAACGGACCAAAACACCAAAAAAAAAAGAACATACCTATTTCTTGTAAGAAAATCTGAAGAGAGATGAATTGCAACCAGATCCAATAAGTGCGAGCCACTCCAATGGTTGGCAGGAGATTGGAAAAAATCAAATGGAAAGCACTTTCCTAGGTAA